ATTAATCAGTATCTAGTGTTGTTTTCTTTTAACAAGCAGGTTGGGATAGGTGTGTGTATATACGAATATTTCATGCAACCAGATTATTTTATGAAGACCTGACATCTGCTACTGGCTAAAGTATATTTTAGAATGCTTGGCGACTCTAACAACTAAAATGACATAAGAGGTATTGACAAAGAATATCCGTATAGTTACATAGTTAGACAAGCTGAAAACAAATATTGAAAAATAAATGCCATGCATTCTCAGAAGACTTGTAGTTGATCCAGAGCACAGCCAAACACCTTTACAAAATGTAGTCCAATTTGCACTAACAAGAGAAAATTGCTTTCTGATCCCCAGAGGCATTTGGCTACTCATTGGGTCCACACTTTATTATGTTATAGTAAAAATACTTTTTAGCATGCGGAGGTTAAACTTTTTTCCACCATCTGTTGAAATTGCAGTGACATTAAAGAAACTCTAGACCACGGGTGTCAAACTGGCGGCCCTCCAGCTGTTGCCAAACTACCAGTCCCATGATGCATTGCAAGATTGACAGTTACAAGCATGACTCCCAAAGGCAGAGGCATGATGGGACTTGTAGTTTCGCAACAGCTGGAGGTCCGCCAGTTTGACACCCCTGCTCTAGGCCATTCATTTGAACAGTGATCTTCACATTAGATTATATGTGGATATAACATATGTTATACATGTTTTTGCTTCTAAATGCTTCTCCTCTGTAGGCATCCAAAATCTCTAAAACTGCTGCCATCTTGGATGTGATGTCAGCGGCACCACATTATTATTATTACAGGTACTTATATAGCGCCATCAGTTTACACAGCACTTTACATGTATATATATATATATATATATATATATATATATATATAATACATTCACATCACTCCCTAACCCTCAAGGGGCATACAATCTACGGTACACTCCCATCCTTGTCCTGTATATAGGATGAAAATCTTTAGCTTTCAGTACACCAAAAGGCAATATTTTTGCTTTCATTTTGAAAAGAGTACGGGAGGGTTTTAACTGTTCTGTTTCCCACTGGGGAGATTTATCTTCACTTCCTGTACCATAACCAAGAGAGGAAGTAAGAAGAAATCCTTCCAAAGTGAAGGCATCTCTGGTTGTTACAAGGGTCTCCCCTCTATCCCTGTTCTCATGACAGCCCAAAATGTAGGATTTTCTTTGAGCTTCACTCTCAATGATGATGGTAAACTGGACAAATAGAGAGGGTGAAACCCCCTAATGGGGTCACAGACAGACATAAAAACCTGCCAGGTGTTCTAGTCCCTCCCCACTCCAAAACTAAAAATAAAATACCTTTAGATATACTTTAAACATACATAAAATTTATTTATGTATTTATTTTTTTTGTGATTGAAAATTGACTTGTTTTTATGATATCAAGTTGAAAATAATAAACAGATTTTAAAAAATGCATAGAATGGTGTCTCAATCTAGAAAAAGTATATGTTAGTCATTACCGTTTCTTAGCTAAAGAACCATACCTCCTGTGATGATGCATGTTCACTTTAGCTGTCAGTAGCTGTGATGCTGTGGCTACAGCATAGTCAGCCCTGCTAGTGGCAAAGCCATGCACAGTGTGAAGGCCCTTTGTATACGCATATGCTGGCACATAGTGTTATCAGTCATTAAGGTCATCTTTAATCATTGCAATGTTAAAATAATATGATAATTATATAAAGAACAATGTGCGATACCACAAATAATTAACATATATATAGATATATATATATATATATATAAAAATATTAAAAATAGTGGAATGTGAGTTGCTGCAAAAACACTTAAAGTGTTCCCACACACAATATACATACAACAAAAATAAAATATAATAGTGTTGCGCTATTCATAACATTTAAACATACAATGATAATGCAAAAGTAAATATATATAAACAGTGCGCAAGTACATAAAAATATAACGAATCATCAAAAAGCTTTCAGTGCTCAATCAGCCCGAAGGACATCAATTCTTCTGCTTCCACTGATAGTGCTTCACACCAAAATGAATTCAGTGACCCTCCATCTGAAATATTTTGGCCGCTGTGGATCTATATATCAACATAGGTCTAATTAGCATGATCATTCCATACACGAACTCCAGACACAGCAAAGGACTTGTACTGTATATTATCAAGGATGGTAATGACAATCACTCACAGGAACCTCCTCACCACTCAGCCTCAGCATATAAGGAAGAGAGAACAGCCTCCAATTGTGGAAAACCATTTAATACACATAAAATGAGAATAACAAAGTTTGCACTCACAATATAGCAGGATATAAAATGCGTATCAGCATGAAACTCCGAACTTCTGGTATGCAGGTCCGTGACCAGAAGTGACATCACTAAGCTCTGCCCCACGCATTACGCTACCTACCCACGTGGCTTCATCAGGGAAATAATATGGCTTTTTTTTGTGTAACAGTGTTAAAATATTATTGTTGTATTGATATTGGATACTAAATATCTATTAATGCATTATCATAGCAATTCAAAGAAATACAGCTACACATAGACACAATGGGGGAGAAAGGGGATAAAACCAAACACATATTGTGTAAAAGAGATTCACATCCTAAACCAGTGGAAGATCTATATTGCACAGGAAGAAAACATCAAGAAAATGGAAAGAAGTGTTTAAATGCTTTTAAATAGAGATAAACAAACTGAATGGAGTCATCACGTTTAACAATAGGCAATACTAAAGGCTGGTACACTTGGGCCAAATATCGGCTGGTATCGGTCAGTACAGCAGCCTGTCCAACATAAGCTGGTCTAATGTTGGAAAACCAGCATCCAATCAGTGCTTGCAGACAATATCTATGAACACTGATCAGTGTGTTCTGGTGGGGGGAAGGCAGTCCCCCTGTCAAAACATAATAGCTCAGCAGGGAGATCCCCACACTAACATCGCTTCATATGCTGAACTCTCTCTCGCTGAGCCCGCTAGGTTGAAATAAAAAAAAAAAGCTCCCTGTGTGTACCTAGCATAAGAGATAGCACTTGTTGGGTTTAGGGTAGTTTTCTTGGTATGAGCACAGATCCTATTGGTTGGTTTATATAATCTAAAGTAAGGTATATACATATCAAAATTCATCCAGTTCAGTTGGAATTTCAATATGCGCCAATCCTTCTCTGTTCTAATGACCGACTTCTGTAAAATGGTCCTGCTGGAAAACCAGCATTCAATCAGAGCATGTAGCCAATGGGCTGCAGTGCTGATCTGTGTATTTTGACAGGGGGGATTCCCCGGTGTCAAAATACAATAGTGCAGTGGAAATCCACGAATCAACATCGTTTGTGTTTGTTTTTTTTTTCATTTAACCATGGACCAACTGTCCATGGATACCCAGCTTGAGGGAGTGGAACTTGCGGCCAACAAATTGTAGAGTGCAAACACAAATTTAATAATCTACTCAAAAAGATTTGTCAGTAAGCAAAGGATTTCCTATTCACCTTATATCTTCAGGTCATAAAATTATAGACATAAAACCACTTATAACATCTTGAAGCCCACATACTTTGAAGCCTAAATTTCATCTTTGCCTACTCTAACTGGCCACCAATATGAGTAAATTGTACTCTAGGGAAATAATAAATCCTTCTTCAAAAAATATTTTTATTAAGATAATATTTATATATAAAATAGGGCTGCACAGTGGCTTAGTGGTTAGCATGTCTGCCTTCCAGTAAATGGATAATGGGTTCAATTCCAGACCATGGCGCCTCCTGCATGGAGTTTGCATGTTCGCCCTGTGCTTGCGTAGGTGTGCTCCGCTTTCCTCCCACACTCCAAAGACATGCTGGTAGGTTAATTGCCTCCTGTGTAAACTGGCCCTAGATGTATGTATGAATGTAAGTTAGGGACCTTAGATAGCACACCCCTTGAGGGTTAGGGACTGATGTGAATGTTCAATATATATGTGTAAAAGCGCTGCGTAAATTGACAGCGCTATATAAGTACCTAAAATAAATAAATATTTTTATTCAGACTGAGGCAGAGACAAAATAGGGTTCATAACATGTTTCATTGCACCGAATTTACCAAAACAAGCATGTACAGTTAATGCTGAACTCCAGGAAGATATAAAAAATGCAGATTATGAAGATATAAAAAATGCAGATAATTACAGATTGTAACAATTAATACATTATCAAATGCATTTAAATGCAAGCAGTATAAGTATCTAAATTTGAGTGGTATCAGAAATATGAGGTCCCTGTACAACAAAATTCAAAAAGAAGGAGGAAGAAGCAGCAGAAGGAGCAAGGTAAGAGATGAACTTCGGGTCTGGTATGGATTTTAAGAGGAACCCTATGCCAAAACTTAAAAAAAAAAATTGGTGTGGGGTCCCCAGCAAAATCCATACCAGGCCCCTATCTGAGCATACAGGCCGGCAGGCCAGGAAAGGGGGGGGGGGGGGTGAGTGTACACCCCCCCTTCTGAACCATACCAGGGCACATGTCCTCAACATGTGGGGATGCTAACAGGAAGGGGGCTCCCCCCCCCAAAGCACCTTGTCCCCATGTTATTGTGGACAAGGGTCTCTTCCCCATAACCCTGGTTGGTGGGTGTGGGGGTCAGTGGGTGGGGGTGTATCAGAATCTGGAAGCCCCTTTAACAAGGGGGGCCCCAGATTCTGCCCCCCCCCATATACATGAGTATCACGAAACAAATACCAAAAACAAATCTTTTCAACATAACGAATATGACGAAACAACATTCTTCAATTATCAAATGAAACAAAAATGAAATGACAATTTTGTCTGGACTTATGTCACAGGGTGTGGTTAAGAAAGAGACGTGTCTGCCTGGAGTTCAGCTTTAACCTCCCTGGAGGTATTCCCGAGTGTAGTTCGGGGTAAAGTTTCAGCACCACAAGCGGTAACTCGAGCTACACTCGGGAATACCTTGCAGCGCTGCTCTGGGATCTCTTCTTCACTTACCTTGTCCTACACTCCCGCGATGTCCTCCCTGTAGTGTCCCCCCGGCAATGTCCTCTGGCCGATTCCGGCATCTGTCTTCCGGGTTCCATTCCCTGCGACGTCAAGACGTATGGGGACGGAACTGGCGGGAAATTTGAAAATTGTAGAAGTGACATTCAGTAAAATCACATAGTATAACATTACTGTATCAAACCATTTCACATACATTTTGTCCCTAGTGCTTTGTCCTGTGCCCTGCCTGCATTTTTACTGTTCTTTTTGCCTGGAAACTGAGAAACGTCCATGGTGTCCAAAAAGCATCCCTTTAGGTCAAAAGCGGTTTTAGACCGGCTAGGGAACAGCGATAGTAAATTAGAACCACTTGCAGTATTGAGTGATAATGATTCGTGGGGAAATTCGTCATCAGACACTGAAAACGATTTTGCGACTATGCTCAGTGATGTGCGAACTTGGCGCTCTGTTTCAAATTTCAGTGTTTTTTGTTTGATTATATTATTGAATTAAATGTATTATTATATTATTATTTTTTATGATTATTTATTAAATTATAATTTTTGATTTCGTGTTTCAAATTTTAACATACCCAGAATGTTTACTAGACTCTTGTTCGGACAGATTTTAGTGAGTTATTCCTAAAAATTACAGGTCTACAATAAAAAAAACGACATATTTCCATGCAAAAAAATGTACCGCTTTGAGCACAGAAATACTGACATAATCAGACCAGTAGGCAGGCTACGGCTGTCAGAAGTTTGAAATTTTTCAGATTAATTCTACTCTAACATTGTTATCTCAGCATCACACAAATTTTTATCTTGTACAGAAACAATCCAATGTGAAGCCTAGAAAACAGTAAGCCAACTATGTAACCCTGTTTTCTAAGCAAATAAAGAATCCATAACTGAATTGCAAAGACGCATATATTATTTTATACTTTGATAAATAGAACAATATTTTCCATTTGGATAAAAATGTGTTTACAGGCTGTACAATATCGGCAGAGAAGGTGCTACTAATGTGTATTTCATGATTCAGTGAAGCAAAAACCTTTATCTGGCTGGCAAGGTATTGAATTACATCATTTTGTAGTGTGGAAAATTTCCAAAGTGGCTATGCACATTTCCAGCTCCTCTGTGCTAGAAATGATATTATTGGAATGAATGACACCCCTTGGAGCATTGTGCAGATCAAAACCATCTCACTTGATGTGTTTTATATGATCATAAACTATAGATCGGATCAAATTACAAAATGCAGTACAACAGAACTTGTAAAATAATATAATATGAAAAAATAGAAATATATGTGTATATATCCATACATTTGTTAAAAAAAAATAATCAGCTCATAGCTTTAAAAAGGTAAAGGAGTAAAGGAAAGAAACATCAGCAAGCCTGCCTAGTATTCCTGCACAGTCCACAGATGATGTTTTTCAATTTTAGTTTGAAAATTGTAGGCATAGGAAAATGTACCTAAAGTGACACCATGGCTTCCTACAAATATAAGTGAGAATGAGAACCCTGTTAATGCAATGTACACTGGTCCAGAGGCCTGCAAAATACCCATTTTTACATTTGTGCATGTGAGTCCTAAAGCAGTGAAGCTTTCTAAAAACTACTGGCAAATAATGAACTCCATAATAGATGAGAAACCAGAAAAGTCAGACACAGAAAGCAGATAACAGGAGATATTTAAAAATTTTAAGATATATGAACAGATAAAGGAACCAATGGACTAAATTATATATATATATATATATATATATATATATATATATATATATAAAATTAACTTCCTGGGACAAGACTTCTCCCAGGCCAACAATAAAGTTAGGGGAAGTAAACACTGGTCCCTTACACAATCATACCTCTCTCTGCCTCTTCATCCTTATTTTACCATGATGGATGTTCTCACCTTGGTAAGATCAGTAAGTGGAGCTGCCATTGTAGCAAAGTTAGGCACAAACCTCCAGCAGTATCCAACTACCAGTCCCACCCAGTGCTCTAGCCTTGACACTAGGCTTCATCCAGGCCCACTGGACTTTTTTTTTGGATTGGCTGTTCACCCGGCCCCATTAGTCTAGAACTGGCTGGACTGTCTGTAGGTTGGAATCACAGTCAAGACTAAAATGACAAAATTATTTAGATATGCCAAAGCATGTGTTTTGTGGAGCTTAAGAATGCAGTACTTAATTTTTTAAAATCAAAAGAGGGACCTATGTAAGCCAAAATAGAGCACCATGCACTGGTACAGCCCATTTATTGCAAAATGGCATCTTCCTTTGCTCCGACTGGTAAGGGAGCCTGCCAATACCCTACAGTAATATTAATGGCAATAATGTACCTGTCAGGACCTAAGCTTTCTATCAATGTATCCACCCAGGCACTGGATAAGCATTGTTTAGATATTCCATTTTGTTTCTTGAAATTGTTGCAGAACCTCAGACTGCCATTCGGCATAGAGATGAGCAGTATGGGACTTGACTTCTTGCTATTAGATTTTTCTATCACCCCAAGGGCTAACATTTATTAAAATCTCTTCTGAAATGTCTTCTCTATGAGCTTCAACTTCCCAGTTAGGTTTTAAAGGGTATGTCTCCCCCCCCCCCCATTTCAGCATCCTTTTCAGAGTTTTGTCGAACTGTTCTAGCAACCCATCAGTTTGGGGATGATACACTAAGCTGCGTAGGTGAGAAATTTTCAACAACTGATACAGCTCTTTGGCTACCTTGAACCATAAGGGGTTCCTTCATCTGTCTAAATATCCATAGGAATACTGGTATGGGGAAAACGCATGGAACAGCTCTTTCACTATAACTCTGGAGGATGTGTTTCTGAGAGGGATTTCTTTTGGATACTGAGTGAGTGGCATAATGAAACAATTACCAATGTGTCAATGGCCCCTGGTGAACTTTGGTAATGGTCCATCCAGATCCGTAGCAACCCTCTCAAAGGGACTTCAATTGTAGGCAAGGATACCAGCAGACTTAAAAAAAATGTGGTTATGGTTCAATAATTTGACATTCAAGATATACAATGTTCCTCGAACTGCTTTGTAGATACCGGAGCAGAAATTGCTGCTCAATCTGTCCTTTGTTTTTTTCTTCCTCTATATATATTCATTATTTTTTATTATTGAGGTGGTTTCTTCTAACTCACCAACTCACTAACCCATGAATGTCTCACCCCATTTTTTAGAGGCTGTTTGCCCCATTGGTATCAGGCAAAGTCTTACCCAATAATGATGTTTTTTTTTCCTGTTTCCAGGGTTTCCTAGTTTGGAGGGAAGATCCCAGAAATAGACCTAGGGGGCAACATGTTGCTCTACCAGCTCATCCACACTCTTGTGGACTGGATGCCTAATGTGCTGCTGTATCTTAACATGCAAGGCTGTGAAGTCATGGTTGCAGACCACTCACTCCACAATCTGAGCAGGATTGAGCACCTCCAGCTACAATCACATGTGATTAAGGTGAAACAAATCACACATCTGGGACCCTGCAGGCTTCTCATATTCTCATATGAACACACGCAGTGCTTGGACATCCATACTAACCTAAAACCTGTCTAGGATTTATTATATTTAATTTTAGGATATTCCTTGGCATCCTAAGGTTTTAGGTCAAAGTAGTCCTTTTTGGAGATCTGCTGTTAAAATGAGTGCTATCACATTATCCCACTGTTCATTGGGTACCTTCTTACACTCAGCAACCCTCTCAAAGAAGCTGACATAGGCTTCAAAGGTGAATAAAGAAAACACCAATCCTAATGGGCCAAAACCTTCATCCAGTGGAAAAATCCTATTCTAGGTAGATGCTGCTATGTACACCAGAGAGAGACTTGTGGACTGCATAAAACAAAAAAAAAAAACAAACCACAATGTACAATAAGCTACATGCAATCAAATAAAAATATAAAGTATTGTATGTCTAATTACAGTTTAATAGCAAAAGGATATAATACAAAACATCAAGCCATAAGAGATTGTTAAATAAGGCAAAATATTTGTTAACAATGCAGGTGACACATAAATAGAGGTGAACATATAGCATCCATATTAAATAACCACTGGACAGAAGGCCCTTTGATGCAAAATTAGTATAAGAAATTTTCAATCAAAATATTAAGCATTCTACCCACATAATGCAAAGGAACCTTGCATTTTGGCTTATTTTTCAGGTTACTTACAAGAATATGTTAGATCTATGCAATACTATCCCTTCAAAGAAAAAAAAGAAACCAAACTGCTCTAGGCCGTAAAAGGATTGAAAAAAATATATATACTGTAGTATTATTATTATTATTATTATGTGGATAAAGGCAGTAGCCTACTGATTCAGAGCAAAAATTACTACTATATGGAAGCAGGTCATTTTTTATCTGGCTGTGTTACTTACAAACATATCCCCAAAAATTCTTTTAATGAACACTTTCAGGAACGTAAATTGCTAGTTGAGAGAGTCCTGTCAGAGGGTATTATTATAAGATAAGAAAGTGAATTTCTCCTCCCTAAAGGGTATAGTTCCCCCATTTTGTTACCACCTGCTCAAGGTCCACAAAAGGCCTGGAAGACCCATAATAGCCAGTAGCAACAGTTTGACCAATTGGGACTCTTTTTATATTGATCACTTCTTACAACCATTGGTGTTTATTCTGCCCCCCTTTATTAAAAATTTTGGTAATCTGATCCATATCTTATGAGATTATAATTGAGATATGGGATGTCCCTGGATGTAAGTTTGCGCTATACATTGATTCCCCATACCATTGAATTGAATGTCCTTCAACATTTTCTAGCTCAGGATCCTGACATGAATTTCAGAGAAATTACGTTACAGAGAGGTCAGTTAGTAAGAGTACAGAGTACTTGGTTTTAGCAGTTGGTAAATAATTAGTGAGTTTTAGTAGGGCAGTTTCAGTGGAGTGTAGTGAGTGAAAGCCAGACTGTAAATGGTCAAGAAGGTTGTTGTCAGTGAGGTAGGAGCTCAGGAGATTGTAGACTAAATGTTCTAAGAGTTTAGAGGCAAGCGGGAGCAGGGAGATGGGTCTTAAGTTCAGGTTGGTGGGCTCCAGCAAGGGCTTTCTAAGTATGGGAGTGATGTGTGCATGCTTTAGAGGGGTAGGGAAGGCACCAATAGAGAGGGATAGATTGAAGGTGTGAGTGAGGAAGCATAGAATAGAAGAAGGGGTGACCATAGTATTTCTGAGTAGACAAGAACCAGGGGGCAGGTACTGAGACGGGCTTCTGAGAAAACGTTTAGCGACCTCTTGAGTAGTAGCAAGGTCAAAAGAGGAAAGTGTTGAGGGAGGTTTAGTATAAGGTATGCTAAGTGGGATAGATGTCTGTGCAGTGGAGATATAAACCATATAAATG